GGCAACCTCCAAACATCTAATTGCAGTTTAGTTATGAAGAAACCAGCCCAGTATCTCCTTGCTTCCTGAAACTCAGCTGTTGCACCCATAAACCAAATCAGGCTGGCACCAGATAATCTAGTCATGAGCCACAATCCAGAGTTGCATGTCCTTCTCTCCTGGAAGGGAGCATAACACGACGCACACCATAACCATGCTGCCAGACCCCACTCCAGGGTGTTTCACAAGGGGCACCCCGAGGGGGATGGGTGAGACCCCTCCCCGACCCAAGGGACCCAGATCAAGCCCCAGAAAACCTCCAGACTGCCACCATGCTTACAGCTGTTCTCTACATGTTTGGGGCAAGCCTAAGTCGCAAGTGAACGTATTCCTGGACCTCATACTCATACCACATATACTCCAAGAGTACTGCACCACATTTGATGGGGTTTAAAGTAGGAGGCAACCAATTTTACAGGGAAATATTTTTTTCACAAATAGATAGATAAGCACACAAGGCTCAAGCTTTAACATATTAGTGATCTCCTATAGAAGGACTTAATGGCCCCTGGGTGAAACACAACAATTTTCACACTCTTTCCTCTAAGGAAACTTTATATAGCATTTCCAGCGGTTTTTCATAATAAACTACAGCACTATATATAGCATTTTTTGTAGCATTTCCAGCGGTTTTTTGTAACAGACAGTATTAAATAAATAATTTTGGATCTGCTTTGGGGCGGGGGTTGGAGTTCAGGATGGAAACACCTGAAATATTGTGTTGGGAAAGTATAATGGTAGTGAGATTGGTGTTCAAACACTAAATGTAATCAAATATTGTTGGGGAAAAAATTTAAAAAAGAAAAGAAAAATGGAGAATGAAAAAAAAACTAACAAAGAAATCAACCCAATACTGATTTAGTGACTTTTCACAGAATGGGAGCCGCACCCTCCCAGTACGAAAGTTTGTGTGAGAAACATGGAGAGCAGCTCCACCTGTTCTGTGAAGATGATGGTCAGCTCATCTGCAGGCTCTGTAAGCAGTCACCAGAGCACAAAGGACATGACACTGCTCCCCTTGAAGATGCACGCCAACATTACAGGGTGAGTGTAGTGGCCAGAAAGCCTCCTAAAGACCTCATCTGCAGTTGCTCTGAAAACTGTTTTCCTTATTTGTTGTTACTGTGTCTGGCATATCGAATACTCTCGGTAGCTTGCCGGGCTCTCCGAGAGGGGCGGAGGAATCGAACTCGGGTCGGCCATGTTGGCCGCGTGTAAGGCGAACGCCCTACCCGCTGTGCTATCGCTGACAGAAATTATTTTCATTGTAGTATATGCTTCAGATGTGCTCTGTCACTCTCTGCAAAAGTGACTTGTCACTGCAACCTCTGCTGAACTCCATCTGGCGCCATCCACTGATCAACTCCCTCCTCTCTCTCCTCAAGGCTTCCCTCTTTGGTCAGACTCCAAGTGCTGGTGTTTCCTTTCCCTTGTTCTTTTTTTTATATTGAATTTATAAGTGAGCTCATCTGGGAGTTGTATTTCTCTTTCTGATTTATTTTGTTTACAGTTACTCTGCAACTCTAGCAAAGTTGTCACAAATGTGAATATTTTATCTTTTCAATTTTTCAGCTTTATTACTGAGTAGGATCCTATTATGTCATTATGCCATTTCCTCCTTATAAACCATTTTATCACTGGGCACTTGTGTTGTTTTCTTATCTTGGTTATTTTAAGTAGCAATATAATGAACATAGATGTGGCTCTATCTTTTGAGTTAGGACTTCATATTCTTTGAATAGATACCTAGAATGAATTCTAGATCATATTTTATGCATAGGTCTTAGTTGGCAAAGAGACCGTTTTCAGAACCTTCATAATGATTTTCACACGGACCAGACCAGTTTCCACTCCTACAAAAATGTATAAGTGCTTCATGTTGTACAGAAAATCACCAAAATTATTTTTTCTGGTGTATGTGATATAAACTTCCTTATAGTACTGAGTGGTTTTTCATTGAAATACTGAGTTTCATTTTTCAGCCACATGTTAAGTGATAATGAGCATTTCTTATGCCAGTTAACAGTCTTCATGTTTTCTTTAGAGTAACTGACATTTTGGGACCAGAGAGATAGTACAAGAAGAAAGGCATTTGCCTTTCCAACTTTCGTTCAAATTCCAAACACCTTAGATGATTCTCCAAGTATCACCAGAAGTGATTCCTGAACACAGAGTCAGAAGAAAACCCCCTGAGCACTTATGAGTGTCCTGTACAAAAAAAGAGAGAAATAGAGAAAGAAAGACAGAGAGAGATAGAGAGAGCTGTATTCACTTCTTTTGCTCTTTTGTTGTTGTTCTTGGTAGTGGTATTTGAAATAATTTTTTTAAAATTTCTTTACAAACCTCATTTATTGACCTCATTTTTTTTTTTGCATTTTGGGTCACACGCGACGATGGACGGGGTTACTCCTGGCTTTGCACTCAGGAATTATTCCTGGGAACCATATGGGATGCTGGGAATCGAACCTGGGTCAGCCGCATGAAAGGCAAATGTCCTACCCACTGTACTATCGCTCCAACCCCATTAACCTGTTGATAGATATGAGGTACAAATCGTTTCTGCCTGTATATAGGATAACTTCTTGTGTCACTGATATTTTCTGTAAAAGTTTCTCTTTAATTCTATGTACTCCCAAATAATATTTGCTTGTTTTCTTTGTTTTCCCAGTTATTGAAATCAACTCTTCAAAGTTATTGCTGAAGCCATGTTAGAATATTTTTGTGCACTTTTTTCTTTGTATTTTATGGCTTTAAGACTTATGTCTAAGTTTTTAGTAAATTTTCATCTGATTTTTGCGCATGGTTTGAGAAGCAGTCATTTCTGGTTTTTGTAAATGGATATCCAGTTTCCCCATCATTATTTTGTGAAGAGATTTTTCTTTCTCCATTTTACATGTTTGTATTATTCCTTATCACAAGTGACCAGATATGTATGGCCTTATTTCTGGATTCTTGGTTTTATTCCATTTATGTGTATGGGGTTGGAATGATAGCACAGCAGGTAGGGCATTTGTCTTGCACGTGGCCAACCCGGATTCGATTCTTCCATCCCTCTCAGAGAGCCTGGCAAGCTACCGAGAATATCCTGCCTGCATGGCAGAGCCTGGCAAGCTACCCACAGCATATTCGAAATGCCCAAAACAGTAACAAGTCTCACAATGGAGATGTTACTGGTGCCCGTTTGAGTAAAATCAATGAACAACAGGAGGACAGTGCTACAGTGCTATGTGTGTGTATATCATGTGTCTGGCTTTTTTGTTCCAATAGTGTATCATCTTAATCACCCTGTTAATATAGTATTGTTTTAGGTGGGGAACACATATTTTCTATCTTATCTTTCCTTAAAATTCTTTTGGCTAGTCAGGATCTTTTGTGATTCCTACCAATTTCAGTTTTTATTTTCTACCTTTGAAAAACGCAATTGGAATTTTAAAAGAGATTGCATAAAATCTTTGAATTATTTTAAGCAAGATGGCCAGTTTAACAATGTTATTTTCTCTATAAATACCAGCTGTAATTTCTGTGACCCCTAAAGAATTCTTTTTTTTTTTCTTTTTGGGTCACACCCAGCGATGCACAGGGGTTACTCCTGGCTCGTTGCACTCAGGAATTACTCTTGACGGTGCTCGGGGGCCTTATGGGGTGCTGGGAATCGAATCCGTGTCAGCTGCATGCAATGCATATGCCCTACCCACCATGCTATCGCTCCAGCCTGTAAAGAATTCTTTTATAGCTTGTTCAAAAACTGGTTGCAAGGCTATAAATTCCCTAAACTCTTGCCTGTCCGTGAAGCTCTGTATGATTTTTTCTAATCTGAATGATAATCTAGTTTGATACAGTACTCTTGGGAAAGTTTTCATGTCATTGAATTTTTGTATTAAATCTATCCATTCTCTTGGCTCTTTTGAAAAATCTGTTGTAAATCTTATGAGCCTACCTTTGTATGGAAGTTCCTGTTTTAATCTTTCTCTATGGTAAAGTATAAAAAGACTATCGGGGAAATAGAAAAGAAGGTGCAAATACACAGCATTTCAAATACAAAGCAGTAAAAATACACAGTCCAGAATTACCAAAAAGATTTTGCTTATGTATTCAATACTGATTTGGAGAACTGTGACAATGAGAGGTAAAACACAAAGGAAAAGTTAAAGATAAACTTTAACTAAATTAGGGATGCTAGCATGAACAGTAAGTGTCTCTGGGGAGAGGAAAATGGACAATTCACTGATGAAGTCTAAAACAGTTAAGGTTAATATCTAACACTTGGCACCATGCCCATGCCAAAGTGTGTGTGGAGGGAAAGATGTGAAAATACAGGAGGAGAATTTAGGCTTTGAACCTTGATAACAGTTGAGAGTATTAATCATAACTCAGAGGAGGACTGAGAATGTAATGTTTTTTGTTGGTTAACTAAGGACAAATATTGACATGAGACCATTCTACCTCAAAATAATTTATTCATCAATTTCTAAAATTCATATTACAGGGTAAGGGTATATTTAAATAAATACTTAGAGAGGTTGTTAACTATTAGAAATGAATGTCTGTGAATAGAGTAAGTCCAATGAAAGGTATAGATTCACAAAAATTTAAAGGCTTGTGTGAAGGCTGACTTGAACTGTGACGGAATAAAGGAGTGGATAGAGTCTTGCTACCTCATTCTTCAATCTTATACAAAATCGAGGAATATGTTGTCCCTTTGGAGAAGTTACTTACGCCCGTACAAAGAATTGATTTCAACAACACAGAAATAATTAGCTAAAAATCTCACTAATTTTACAGATTGCCAAGGGGATCAACTGTGTTATTGGATTGATAACTGTCCACATGCTTTATCTCCACATGTAAGGCCTCAACAGATACTCAATGTTATTCGAATTGTCTGAAGGGCTATGATTTTCATCAGATTTGTGAAGAGTTATCTAATATCATAAAATTTCATTACATCAATTTTCCTCTAGAAACAGCTCCAGAAAGCAGTGACAAAACTGGAGGACACAAGATCAAGATATATGCTGTTAAAGCTAGACAGAACACAGAAAATAAATAATTGGGAGGTAAGAATTTATGTAATCAAACTATATTACATCAGCTTGTCTAGTATTAGGTAATACTCAGTAAAAGCACTATAAGGGTTTGTTGCTCAATAAATGACCTAGATTGTCAAAAGTAATCTAATAAGTATCATTTCCCTTTACTCTTTTAACTATATACATCTATTGTAATTTTACTGCAAATATTTTAACCTTTTAATAGTAATTATTTAGAATTCCCAATGTAGGAGCTGGGGAAGCATAAATATTACAGCCGACCTAGGAAGATCCTTGAAGGGGTTCAGATTCTCAAAGTTTGAAAGTATATTCTTGTCTTGAAGCCTCAAGTGTACCAGTTTGGTTCATTTACCACACTGCAGTATCTGACATTCAAGCTTTCAAGCTTCAGAGACCAACTAGTTGTAGAAGCTTAGAAAGAGATTCATTCTGATGAGTTGCATTGAACTTAACTTAATGAAGCTGTTAAAGTGGAGGACTGGATCTACCATAAGAGCATATAAAAGACAACCACAGAATATGGGTCTCTAGGTCAGTAATTAACCAGACTGCATACTAAAGGAAACAGATTTCTTTATGGATATATTGATATATATTGATACATAGCACATTAGTCTGAAGTACTATCACACAGATCCTATCACACAGACCCGTGAGCCATCTTGTTTATTTCATAGGGTCTTAAACCCCTGACCTTATCTTTTATTTGTAAATATCAAATATGATCTCTCAAGGGCTGGAGCGATAGCCTAGCGGGTAGGGTGTTTGCCTTGCACGCAGCCAACATGGCCAAATTGAGTTCTATTCCTCCACCCTTCTCCTAGAGCCGGGCAAGCTACTGAGAGTATTTTGCCCTCACGGCAAAGATTAGCAAGCTACCCGTGACGTATTTGATATGCCAAACACAGTAACAAGTCTCACAATGTTACTTGGCCCGCTCTAATAAATCGATGAACAACGGGAGGACCGTTACTGGGATCCCTCAAAAGATAGCCCTTTGCTTTCAATTCTGGGCTCTTGAGTGGTGGGAAGATCTTCACAAGAAAGAGAAAGAAAGAAAGAAAGAAAGAAAGAAAGAAAGAAAGAAAGAAAGAAAGGAGGAAAGAAAGCCCTTGAAACCCTTCATGAATACAAAGATTTAAGCTACAACTATCTACCACATCAAGATAAATAAGTGACTCTTTTATTGATTTCACAGAAATTAGAACAATGACTGAAATAAGAAAGCTAAAGTGGAAGTTAAAATTCTAGTCCCCACTCTCACCAAATAAAACCTGTGTCCTACAGGATAGATTATTTAGTTTCTGTCATTTTCACACATTAGGTCAATTAACTAAACCCTGGGTTGGTATTTCTAGTATTTATGATCAGAATCTGCCAACTGGGCCTCTCCCAGGTAAGACTCATGAACTTACCAGGGTGGTCATCTTTACTCCAGTTGTGATGTCTCAGTTATGAACTTCAATAAGATTCAAGAAGAAACTTCAGAAGTCTCTTGAACTGAGAGTTTACCTGAAACAGAGGAAAACATCCTTAAATAAAAATGAAAAGTTTTATTTGTTCTTATGATCATGTTTTATTTACCTTGGCCAAGCTGTATTTTGCACTTTTTTCATACTCCTTACACCAGCTTCTTGAAGAGGAATTTAAACAGATAACTATAATTAATTATGACGTCTTCTACCTTTGAATGTCTTTCTCCCAGGAATAACTCTAGTGCAGGAAACATGGAACACTCTTCAGGCTTTGTCACCCTGAGAAACCGTGTGTGTGTGTGTGTGTGTGTGTGTGTGTGTGTGTGTGTGTGTGTGTGTGCATAATATAAAAAGCCACTATTCTTATTTTTGAATGGACAGTTTTGTCGCAGTTTAATTTTGTACACACTCGTGCAACCTTTGCCTCCATCCACATGTAAAACTCACCATCCAAAATAAAACTCTCTTCCTACTGAACTATAATTCCTCATTATTTCTTTCCTCTATTTTCTGATATTCTCTGTCTTTATGAATATGACTTATCTCAAAAGTAGAGTCTATAATACCGTCTCCCTGTTTCTGACTTCACTCTGCTCACTGCCTAGTTAACTCTTCCCAGTTGTACCATGTAACAGATGAACCTTCCTTTTTACTACTGAGTATGTTTCAATAGTTTCTGTGTGACTCATATTGTGTATGGATGTACCCATTAATGGCCATTTGGTCTGTATGCACTTTCTGAGCCCTTTTTTCCTTGAAGGTGAAAATTAAGCATGAGAAAGAAAGAATCCATTCTGAATTTAAAAGTCTTCACAACTTTCTGAACCAGGAGGAGGAATTTTATATGTGTAGGCTAGAGAAAGAACAAGAGCAGAAGCTGAGCAGACTGCAGAACAATGTAGCTCATCTGGAAAACAAACTGCAGGAACTGAAAAACGGCATCCTGGAACTGGACAAGAAATGTCAGGGCTCAGCACAGCATTTGCTGCAGGTGAGTCTGAACACTTTGAGGAAACAGAGGAGATATCTTATTCCCATGCAAGTTAGAGCAGAATGTGAGCAATACGGAAGATTAGCAAGGCCTACTTCCTCAGTTCAGACTCCTTCTCCCTTTAACTCACCTTGTTCAGCATAACACCAGGTTTCATCTTTTTTTTATAGTTGAGTAGTATCTCATTGTATGTGCACACTAATTTCTTTAACCACTGAGGTGTTCTTGGGTATTTGGAATGATTCAAGACCTTGGCCATTGTCTATAGCACTATAATAAACACAGAAAAGCAAGTATTTTTAAAAATTAATGTAGTTGTGCTATACATTAGCAGTTGTGTTTGGAATGTTTTCGAAAACTGGAAACTCTGGGTTATATGTAACCTCAATTCTTAACTTTTAATGATCTCCTCTGAAATTGTGAGCCTGTGGTCCCTTTTAATTTCAAAGCAAGGAAGCCCAGTGTATATCACAAAAGACACTGTTGTTTCACCTTTCCCCCATTTTATGTTTTCATTATCTGCTGCTTCCAAGTAGGGTTTCTTTCCCTTTTAAAAAAGATCGGGGTCGGGGGTATGGTGCCACCAGCAGGTCAATCTGTACCTGTGAGGCTAGTGCACCAGCAGTCTGATGGCACCTTCAAACTTCCAGATACCCCAAAACTGCTGCTGTGCATTTGGCCAGAGCCCAAAAACTTGGGACCAAGTTTACCAAGAAAGTAAACTGCCAAAAGTTAGGTATGTTGGAGACACACCCACGAACCAACTCCAGCTCAGCTATATAATTGGAGGCATGGCCTCTCTGGTTCCTGACCAAATTGCTTAACGGCTATGATCCCAGAGATTCAGAAACAAATCTTGAAACCAATGGCTTTTGGCAGAAATGCGTCCAGTCCCTGCAGTAGGTTACAGGCTCTGGGCCACCCCAGGTGGGAATAGGTTTTGTGCCTTGGCCTGTTACCCCTGGCGACCCAGTGGCCACCATCCTCCAGAGTTACTGGACAGTCAGGTTTGGGCCCACAGTGACGAGACACATGGGGCCTCACGGGATGGGGGTGGAGCCAGCCCTTTCCTCCCTGTCCCAACGAGACCCAGGGTTGCTGCCCACAAACGGCCTCTCTGGCTCCTGATCAAACTACTTAACGGCCATGATCCCAGAGACTCAGAAACAAATCTCAAAACCCAGCAGCTTTTGGCAGAAATGCGTCTGGACTGTGCAGTAGGTTACTGTCACTGAGCCACCACAGGGGGGGAAGGGTGCTGTCCCTCCACCTGCTCCCCCTTGGAGGCTCGGTGGCTGCCATCCAACAAAGGCTATTGGACAGTCAGGTTTGGGCCCACAGTGACAAGACACACTGGGCCTCACAAGATGGGAGTGGAGCCAGCCTTTCCCTCCCATCCCAACAAGACCCCAAGTTGCCGCCAAAGAATGGCCTTTCTGGCTCTTGTCACAGCCGTTAACGGTGATGATCCCAGAGACTCAGAAACAAATTGCAGAACCCAGCGGCTTTTGGCAGAAATGCGTCCAATCCCTGCAGTAGGTTAAAGGCACTGGGCTACCTTAGGTGAAAATAGGTTTTGTGCCTTGACCTGTTCCCCCTGGCAACCCAGTGGCCACCAACCTCCAGAGGCCATTGGACAGTCAGGTTTTGACCCACAGTAACAAGACACACGTAGCCTCACGGGATAGGGGTGAAGCTGGTCCTTTCTTCCCCACCCCAACGAGACCCTGAGTTGCCACCCAGGAACGGCCTTTCTGGCTCCTGATCAAGCTGCTTAACGGCCATGACCCAAGAGACTCAGGAACAAATCTCGGAACCCAGCATGTTTTGACAGAAATCTCTCCAGATTTAGATCTTGGCTTTGATTATGAGAGTCAGTCCTCAGAATGGGAAAGTTCTCAGGTATAATTTCTTTGTTTTTATTTTTTGGGTTTTTTTTTTTTGTGAAGCAAGGTAGTTTTCACTGAAACTTACTAGAAAAATGTGAGAGGAGAGAAAGAGAATAAATGTGTTGAAGAGAGAACATGGAAGCAAAGAAAAAATAGAGACAATAAGCAACATGTGTTCAATGTGTTCAAGGTAGAACATGGCCTTGATGAGCAAGAGAAAGCTATAATTTCTTGAAACACTTGTTCCTCATTCTCACTTTCCTTTTCCTCAAAGACTCTTTTATTGTTTTTTCTGTTTGTTTGGGGGCCACAATTGGCAGTTCTCAGAGCTTCCTTCTGTCTGTGTTTTCAGGGATCACGCCTGGCATGCCAGGGATCCAACCAGGGTAGGTGGTGTGCAAGGCAAACACTATCACTCCAGCCCCATGAAGGTCTCCTTGAATTTGATTGTTGTTCCTGTTAAAATTATCCCACAGTGCTCTGATATCCCATTCATAATTTTTATTCTGTTTTTCTTGTTCTACTAAATTGATGTTTCCTAACTCTTATTTTCTTATTTGATTTGTTCCTTGGCATTTGTCACTCAGTTGCTGGAACCTTCCAGTGAATTCTTAAGTTCACTTACTTCAGTTCAGTTCCCTCCCTGTCTGTCTAACACTTTATTTTGCTTTGTTGGAGACCTTTTCTGCTGTTTCCCTTAATTCATTAAACTTTACAATTGTCACTTTGAAGTTCTCAACTCAGAAAACGAGCATATAAACTTATGGTTGCTTGGGAATTTTCTGGACTTTTGTCTTCACTCATTAATCCGAGTGGGCTTCCTCCTCTTCTTTATTGTATCTCCTGGGCTCTTAGAGTTAGGGGTGAGGTTCTGTTTTTGAGCAGGTAGAATAGCAAACCTAAGTTTCATTCATGTCCACCATTACTCAGGGAAACTGTGGGGCTACGTTTGTGTTGTAACAAGCCACTGCCAAGATTTGGCTGTAGTCAACAGCAATGCCTCTTGCCCTTCACCATTCCAGTGCCTCATCCTGATCCTATTGTCTCAGTTTTTTGAGTTTAGGCTTTTGTACACATCTGAACCAAGCTTCCTTATTTTTTGCTTCAAATGCGCTCTGAGTCTGACTGAATCCTTGCATCAGATGCACAATGTGTATGTGTGTGCGCGTGCGCGCGCACGTGTGTGTGTGTGTGTGTGTGTGTGTGTGTGTGTGGCGAGGGTGAGGGTGGTGAGGGATTGGTGGTGTGGATGTGGTCTTTGTAATCATCTCACACAGGCAACTGACATGTCTGAATACCTCCTAAACCCAGAATGTTGGTGGGTGTCCTATCTGCCTGGGGCCACAGCTGTATGCCCCACTACAAATATTGGCCTGAGACCCTGTCATGCTCAGATTCACTAATTTTTTCCCCTGACCCTGATTGGATCAACTTCTCCCACTTCCATCCTTGGGCCACATATCTTGAGCTCATTACTGTCCTGGATGGAATGGAAACTTGCCCAGAGCTATTTGCTGGTTACTTCTATGTGTGCCTTTGTGGATTACACATAGAATCTTCTGTTCATGTCTGTGTTTCGTTATGTTTTACATTCTTTCTGGTTCACAGGGCCTGCTCCATCTTAACTCCATTGATTCTTGTATTTTTTTTAAGTTCTGTAAAAGAACTAGAGGTTAAGCCATAGTTTAGGATTATAGTATGACTGGTCCATCATCATGTGGCACCTGCTATCAACACCTAAGCATCTCAGTCACAGGGACTCTGCATGGACTCAGAACTCAGACCCTTTATGGTGAGCAGTGTCCTGTATGGACTCACTTTAAGGAAATCACATCATTGAAAGCAAGCTGTTGCCCTAGGCATCCTTCTGATCCCTTTCCCAACAGCCAGAGGCTGATATGTTTTCAAACAGCAAAGCTCACCACAACCTCAGTGAGGAAATCAGCAGAGTTTGATAAACAAGTAGTCATGTGCATCCCCAAGGGACTCAGGATGGAATTATCCTATTAGAAGTCCATCACTGTCTATGTTAGGGGTTCAGTGGTGTGCCTCAACAGGAATGAATTTACCCTTGTATGTGTGAGACCTTGACTCCATTCCCGCCCTTGGGATCCCTTATCTTGCTTCCTGGAAGGAGTGTTTATAGAGAACTGCATATAGAGAACTGAATACCATGAAGGTCAGATATTCCTGCACTCACCTTTGGTCTTTGTTTCTCTACAGGATATAAAAAACACCTTGAGCAGGTGAGTGTCCATGCCAACAGAATGGGCAGGGAAGGATCATGGGCACAGAGACATGAAGGGAAGGAGCCACTGAAGAAACCTCTTTTTTGCTATTTATTCTAGGGTCTCAGATACCAATCTGGAAACACCGGAAGATGTTTCTTTGGAGCTGCATACTGTGTGCAATGTCTCTGAGCTTAACTTTACCCTGAAAAAAATGTTAAAGCACTTTCAAGGTATGTTGATTTAAGAATTCCAGTTAATATTTTATTTAACTCCCAATGTCATGTGAGAAAGATAGATGATTATTATGGAATGTGCTGCAAGTGATGTAAGGACCTTAACCCAGTAACACATTTATTGATGCCAAAGCTGAGTTTTGTCTTTCTATAGTTCTCTTTAATCATTGTTTTCTATGTTTCTCTAATCTCTTATAAAACCCCACAGTTCTAGAAAAAGTTTTTAAAAATTGGGAGCTATTAAATGAAACACAAGCTAAGAACCAGAGAGAAAGCTCACTGGGCTGAGAGCATGCCTCATGTTCAGAATGTCCCGGTAGTGCCAGCACTGAAGGGAAGACAGCCTGGCATCCTGGAGCCTTGCCCTAATCCGCTGGTCCAGTTGGCCTGGAGTGACCGGGCCCCCTGCACCAGCTTGGAGTTCCTCCCGCAAAATTCTGCTTTAACACTGGTCTACACTTTTCATGTGTATGATTTTAATGTTGTTGAATTTTACAGCTGTTAATATTATGATGCTGCTCAAGCAAATCGATGAACAATGGGAGGACAGTGACAGTGACAGTGAATATTATGATTTAAAACTTCTATTTCTGAATATTTAAATTATTTTTCATTACTGTCAAGGATTTGTCTCTAAGCTTGGAGGTCAAGAGAGAAATTTGTATGGTACAATTTGTTTTATTTTTTAGTATATTTGTTTATTTGGGTTTTTAAAGAATAAATTATAGTGGTGGAACAATAGTTCAGCAGGTAAGGTATTTGCCTTGCATGCAACCAACCCTGGTTCAATTCCCAGAATCCCATATAGTACCTTGACCACTACCAGGAATGATTCCTAAGTGCAGAGCCAGAAAAAACCCTGAGCATTGCAAGGTGTGACCCCAAAAGCAAAACAATTAAAATTAAAATATAAATAAATAAATTATAAAGAGACACCTGACTGTGTCTTTGACTAATCCCAAACTTTATGTTCAGTGATAACTCCTGTGGTGCTCACAAAATCATATGACGTACAGGGAACCGAATCTGGGGCAGCCCAATTGGAGAGAAGCACCCTCGTCACTATTGTATCTCTCTGGCATATTTCAATTTTTTAACTTTCTTCACATTGACACTTTGGATTTTTCCCAATCGTTTAGGCAATATCAACTAAAATCTAACTCATTTGTGAGTCAAACTCATGATAAGAACTGGCTAGAGGGATTTAATTAAGGGATTATTTATAAAGATGAGAAGTAAGGTAGAGAACAAGGAATATCCAGCACCCAAGGCAGGAATGGGTAGGCAGCCATCATTGCCTGGGCCTCAAGTGGCAGGTGGAGGGCACTGTGAGGATGGGGAGTGTGATGGGGAGCGGAATGCAGAGCCTGCCAGTCAGCATGGGAGGGCAATGTCTACTTCACACTGCTACTCAGTTGCTTTGTGCCCCAGGGCCTTCTCCTCTGCTTCCCATTCGTTGAATTAAACAGAGAGAGATAGGGAAGAGGTCCCAGGTGATGTGTCCATAGTGGTCAGTCTTTCAGGGAGAGAGCCAGATGGGAAAAGTGATAAAGACCAGCAAGGATTTGTTCCTTCAAATGTTCAAAGGAACACTGAACACCCAGCACAGGAAGTATTTCTGCAGAGGGGATTGAAGTTACTGGGAAATCAGTCCAAATCCTTGTACTACTTAACTTGGTAACCCAGTGAGTGGTTGATTCTTTTTGAGTGCTTCTAAGAATGATTAACATTCTAGGGGGCAGAGCCATAATACAGTGGGTTGAGCCTTTGTCTTCATGAGGCAGATTCGGGTTTGATCGTCAGCACTCCATTTTGTCCCCTGAGCACCACCAAGAGAAATTCCTCAGTGCAGATCCGGGAGTCACCCCTGAGCATTGCCAGGTGTGGCCACCAAAAAAAATAAAACAAAACATACTATTGATATATTGAATTTTGAAATTTGTATTATATAATCGGTATAAATATATATCCATATTCCTGTTTTTTCCATTTTTTAAATGATCATTTCATTTTCATATATATATTGCCCCTAGATTTATTACATTTTACTAATTTTATGGAATACTGTTATCTAATATAAGAAAATAGAGTAAGCTCTAAAATCCATGGAACTAGAATGTTTTTTGTGACCTGGGTGATAGACATGAGATTAGAATGGGGGTTTTTTTGATCTGAGAAAATTCTACATCTTTAATTACAATATATCATATTAGTTGTCTATTTTTCTTTCTGATACAGATTTTGTAGTCATTAAAGATGGAATAGTCTTATTTATGCTTCAATATTCCACGATTTTTCAAGAAGAAAATGGGCTTTGGAAATGACAGAATCCATGTAAATTCTGGTTAACTCTATTCCACGTCTTTATAAGATAGCAGTAAGGATGGTGGTAATAATATTCCTAGAAACTCTTAGATACTTACTGTTAATCAGATATTTTAATAAATAATTATTTTGTTTGCTTTTTGGGTCACACCCAGTGACGCACAGGGGTTACTCCTGGTTCAGGCACTCAGGTATTACTCCTGGTGGCGCTGGGGGACCAGATGGGATGCTGGGAATCAAACCCCGGTTTGGCCACGTGCAAGGCAAATGCCCTACCCGCTGTGCTATCACTCCAGCCCCTAATGAATAATATTCTTTAGTTCACTCAATCTTCCCCATTCTCTGTGAATGTCACAGAGATGACTATGGCCAGCAAACTATAGACTCAAAAAATGATTCTTAAATAATTAGAAGAGAATTTACGTTTGAATTAGGCTACCTTTAATTTTAAAAAAGACTATCAAAACAGGTCAGGAGAGATACTGACATGGTAGTGGATTTGGACTTAAACATTGAATGCCAAAAACTGTCATCAATAGTTTGGTAAATTGCAACAAATAAATAAAAAGTATTTTTCCCTTAAAAAACAAGTCTGGTGGAACAATGGTGGAGGGTAGAGCACCCATCAGTCCACCAGGAGTGATCCATAAGCCCAGAGCCTGGAGGAAGCCCTGAATACCACTGAGTGTGACCTCCAAACAATAACAACACAAAGCAAATAAGAGCAAGTCTTTTGGAGATGGATCATAGTACAGTAGATGAAGTAATGGCCTTCCCCATCACCAAATCTCCAGCACCCCAAATCCAGGAGTGATTCCTAAGCACAGAGACAGTAGTAAGCCCTGAGCACTGCTTTTTTGGTGTGGCCGCCTCTCAAAAACAATTTTAAAAATAAAATCTATTTTTTTTCAGACAATATGACTCTGAATCCAGATACCACTTATCAAAAATTACATCAGTTTGACAATCAGAATAAAGTGGATTACTGTGGGTTCTTCCTGAAGTCTCAAACTTCTGGAGGATTTCGTGTCTTACCCTGTATCCTGGGATGTGAGCGCTTCACCTCAGGAAGACATTACTTTGAAGTGGATGTGCGAGAAGGAACTGAGTGGGGTGTAGGAGTTTGTCTGGAAAATGTACCAAGAGACATTGACACAGGACGAGAGCCTCAGTCTGGATTCTGGGCCATCAGACTGAGAAAGAACAAAGATAACTTAGCCCTTACTTCTCCCCCAACTGCCCTTCCTCTGAGGGACCAGCCTGAAGTTGTAGGTATTATTCTAGACTGTGAGGCTGGGCTCATATCTTTCTACAATGCCACTACTGGTTCCCACATCTACACTTTCCCAAAAGCCTCATTTTCTCATGCTCTCAGACCTTATTTTGAGGCTTATCCATTTTTTTCTTTGTCCCAAACTTCCTCAAGTAAGTAGAAAAAAGAAAAGTCACCTTCTAGTTAAACCAGCTTAGGAAGTACTTGGTAAATCAAAAAAATTGAACCTTATTTCTTTCTGGCTATTTCTCCATACCTAGACTATTACCTCAATATTTATGATGCATAAAAACTGTGTTCAAGTAATGTATATTCAGGCAGTAACACAAAAGATAATGAGTCTGCTATTAGTCTATATGATAGAATAATATATCTATTATAGTGCAGATAATGTGTCTGCTCTATAGTGAAGTAATGCAAGATAAAGTGATTGCATTGCATGTTTTGCAGAAAGTGTATCCTCTCCTGCCCTCTCTGTGATTTCAGATCTTTAATTTCCAAGACACCCTGACAGGCCAGTGAGCAGGATGACAGGAGCTCAGAAGGTTCGGGTTCTCTCTGTTTGGTACCACATGAACTGACAGGGAGGGAATAAGGAAAGCTGAAATTATACCAGCAAAAGAATGAAAAGGGCTGTGACTCTTTTGACCATTGGTGAATAATCTGAGCTGCAGCCCTAACTGAGAGAATATGTGCAGACAGTAACCAACTTAGAGGGTCCTGCCCATTGAAGGGTGAGGGAAATGTCACAACTGACTTAGAGTGAGATGCTTCACATAGAGACAGGTCCAGAGTAAAACTGGATTTGGATGGTGTTTCAGCACTGGAGAAGAATTTGCTATTTCCACACTGTGATAACAGCACAAATCCTGAAAGAATTTAAATTTTCATAGCAGTTATTATTCACAGAATTGTGAAAAGTTTTTATTAGGTACTCATATACCAAACAAAGAGGCCTGAACTATCTTAGTTTCAAAATGGCTTTGATTTCAACTATTTTGAAAACCAAATATATTTGTTTTCAAAAGTACATTCTGTTAAGTTTGTTTGGACCAAATGGCACTGTTCAGGATGAAATAGTGATCATCTGATGGAATAGCAACATTCCGGGAGTCAAAGATCCCTCAGCCTCAGCACGGAAGTCAGGACTCTGGCCCACCTGCCCCCAGGTGCTCCCAGGCTGCATTCCATGCTTCCTCACATGGATCTCACCAGTGACAGAAGGATAAACCAGATGCACCAATCCCACTGACCATTGTTCCCTTTTCCTAACCAAGACAAGATAAAATCCCACTTAGCCTTTCCCAGGGCACAACTCTACCCCAGCATCACCAGTGACTGGCAGGGGCCCTTGGAAGCACCCCCCCCCAATAAACTTCCCTTATTTCTCCATTTCACTTCTCTCTGTCCCTCCTATTGTGTCTTGTGAGATCTCCGACCTATTGCCTTCCATGTCAGACTTTCTTTTTGATCCTGCCTGAGTTGACTGATGAGAGCTCCTGGTCAAGTGAGTGAAAGCAGGAACAACACTATGACTAGAGAATGTCACAAAGCCTTAGGAAAATATACAGTTATATAAAAATGGACATTTCTGACTCATAAGCCTTGAGAGCTCAACCCTCTGGGATGAGGGGAAATGAAGCAAAGAGTTGCTTTTGGCTGTGGGTGCATGAAGCCAAAGTGTCAGATGCCGCACAGAACCAGAGGGGCTCCTGGCAAGCTGATGGAGATTGGGTTGGACAAGCAACTGAATGGTAACAGAGGATACCACCCTCCCAGAAGCTGCTTTGGCATAAGAAATAGTTTGAGCTGAAGATATTTGAGGAAAAAAAAAAACAGGTACATTAAGGAAGAATGGGTTATGGTGCTGCCAGCAGGTCAACCTGTACCTACCGGGTGAGTTCATCAGCAGCCTGATGGTGCCTTCAGGCTTCCTGATAGCCCAAAATTGACACTGTGCCTAGGACCAGACCCCAACAACTTGGGACCAAGTTTACCAAGATACTAAATGGCCAAAAGTTAGTTATGTGGGAGCCACACCCACAAACCACTTCCGGTTCAGCTATACAAGCTCATTTATTGGCCTTATTTCAGAGACCCATAGATAAATCTCGAAAGACATCCAAAGCCACAGTTAATCTCAGACCCACACATGGATTAATAGACTGGAGTAAATTGGAGGGGGGAAGGTTGCCCTGGTGGCCCACCCAAGAAGAGCCCCAAGGAGCTGCTTTCTTCCACAATCCAAAATTGCCGCCATATCCTCAGCCTGACTCTCGTCTCAGGACAGACCTCATCAAGATACAATCTGCTAAAAATTCTGGTATGCGGTTTTTGTGACTGAAATCTCCAGGTTTTCTCAGAGTTGGGGTGGGATACCTCCTCCCACTTTCCAATACACATGGAAGCACTGGCAGTCACCCCCATGAACCAACTCCAGCACCACCCTGTAAACTCTACTGCTGGCCTTGCTTCAGAGACCACTAAATAAATCTCAAAAGAGATCAAAAGCTGCAGAAAAGCTCAGACCCATGGATGACTAAACAGACTAGAGTAAATTGGAGGGGGGTGGGTTGACCTGTGCTCACTCAAACAGAGCCCCCAGCAGCCACTTGCTTCCACAATCCAAAATCACCACCACAACCTCTGCCTGACTCCACTGTCTCAGGATGGACCTCACCAAGATACAATCCGTGGAAAATTTTGTAATGTGGATCTTAGTGCACCAACAGGCCTGACCCAGAGACACAGGGGTAAGTCCTGGAGGACACCATAGTTCCAGAGATCTCTCTGGGCCCCATACTGAACCAATTTCACCAGGACACCCAGATGGAGCAGGTGCAGTCTCCTCACCTACTCCAGATGGAATCCTGGCAATCAAGAGCTTCCACAAGCAAGGCCCCTGTATGCGGGTTCCAGGACTGAATCTCTAGGGCACATGGTGGTGAAGAACCTGGGCTGTCCCTCCCCAGGTCCCCGCGCACCCAGCAGACTAGCTGTCACACCCACAATTTGCCTCAGGGTGCTATCTTAGCGCACTAACAGCCCAGTTCCAGAGACACAGCACCAACTCCCAGAAGATACCACAGTGCTAGAGATCTTTCTATGCCCCATACTAAGCCAATTTCACAGGGCCACCCCAGATGGAGCAGGTGTGCTCTCGCCACCTACTCCAGATGGAATCCCGACAACCAAGAGCTTCCACAAGCAATCCCCTGCCCCCCTGCCAGATATGTGGGTTCCAGGACTAAATCTCCAGGCTGCATGGTGGCAGAGGACCTGGGCTGTTCCTCCCCAGGTCCCCGCCCACCCAGCAAACTGGCTGCCATGCCCACAATTTGCCTCCAGTGCCATCATAGCACACCAATAGCCCTGGCCCAGAAATTCCCAGTTGAATCCCAAAATGGATTAGTGCCATACAGAGATGTCTCTGAAACCCAACCATTTACAATCTAGAAATTTACATTTACAATCGCAGCCTTGCAAGCTCTCATGATATTCGAAACGAGCAACGAAAATAAATTATCTAGCATCTGTCCTGGTAGGTAGGCTTGAATGGTGGTGGGAAATTTCGAGCAAAACATAATGCCCCAAATTAGATAGACTGTATTGGGGAAATTGTCTGCCATAGAAGCAGGGAAAGGACTGGGATGTGGGTGATGGAAAATGTGCACTGGTGGAAGAATTGGTATTTCATCAATGTATGGCTGAATCTCAAACGTGAAAACTTTATAACTCTATCTCACGGTGATAGTTTAAAAAAAAAAGTAATTTGGAGTTCATGCCCAATTCAATCAGCTAAATCAATGGCTGAACAAACAGCAGTACTCCTACATTATTTTAAAAAATAAATAGGAAAGAAACATAATAAGGGAACAACAAATGGTCAGAATCATCAGAAGTAAAGATCTTGTCAACAGAACTGAGTTACCATGGGGCAGAGATGGGTCCTTGGCACTGGGGAAGGGAAGCGGGTTCTCTGGTGCTGAGTGTAGTGTTGGAGATACTCATGGAAAGTGTTAACAGTACTGTAAACTCCAAGATTTAAATACAATTGCTCTAATTTTTTAAGTTATCTACCTTTACCCATCATCCAAAGTGTAGATATATATGAGTTCTTGCCCCCATTCACTCTCAACCAGCAAGGACAGAATTTAATTACTAGAGAGGACTTGACAGCCCCTAGGCTGACAAATAGCACTAGAGGGATTTCCATAGAAAGCATTTGCTGAACAAACCCTCAGCAGAACTCTGACCATTGCTTTACTAGAAAAAAAGTAAGATGATACAGTTTTGAAAAGAATTTTTTAAGATTTATCATTGATTTAAAATTTTGTGGTATTTCTGGAGTTTTGGTTTAATTATCGTGTTACCTCTTCTATAATTGATTTTTTAAAAGGTCTCTCAAAAATTCAACTATAAATAACTTTGTAATTATGGTGTTGTAATAAAATTAAAATTTGAAAGAAAAAAGTGAAAATAATCTCACATGTGTCTCTCTAAAGCAATCTAATAAAAGAAAAAAGGTCAAAGTAAATGAAACTGGAGGGTTTTTTGATACAACTGATTTTATAGGGGATTGGGGGCCTCTGGGAGGGGACCCTTGGGGCATTGCAGATTTCAGTTATTCTTAAGGGCTGGGTGGAGAGAATTAAACAGAGGAGACATGGATCTGGGCCTGTTGAAATGGTGCAGGTTGGGCATGGAGGCTCTCTGCTAATAGAGCAGCTTTAATTAACATGAAATAAATAAATCCTAAAAATACACAATATAGTAACTGTGGGGAGAGAAAATCTGAATGATAATTGAGCTGAATATAGTATTCTTGATGAGGCATTCATTTTACCATATGGTACCATTCTCTTTTGTCTCCTAGAATCTCATGTAATAGATCTGCTGTGAGTCTTGTGGAATTTACTTTATATGCAAATTCCTGTTTTGATCTTGGTGCTTTCAAGAGTCTGCCTTTCTCTTTGGCTGTGTCTCCTCAATACATTTCATTCTAAGCATTGCTTGTTATGAGTCCTATAAGTTTTAGTTCATTTTCATTTCTCTCAAGGTCTTAGTAATTTCCATTTGTGATTTATTCCCTGATCCGCTGACTTTTTACGAAGATGCCATTTGATTTCACTTTCCTTCTACTTTCTGGAGTTCCATTGTAAAGTAGACAGCATACAGCTTTGAAGCTCTGTTCATTTCTCTTCACTTTTTCTTCTTTCTGTTCCTCAACACAGGTGATTTTAACTGACTTCTCTTGGTTTCTTTTGTCTGTCAAATATCCTTTAGTGTCATCAAAATAAATCATTTTATTTACTGAACTTGAAATAACATAATTTTTGTGGGAGAGCATATATGACTACATGACAGCGAGTTGTATAGTCTGACACACAGCATATTTTTTAAAATAAGTATTTATTTGACTCATGGACAGCTGTTCCTGGCATCAAAAAAGAGATTTTGCTCTCTTTCAGTCTCAGAGAGAAGTAAGCACAAATTATTTGCAAGGTTGCCAAGACTTCCTTCAGAGAAATTCTTAGCCACGTCATCCTTCTGAAGGGATTAGGCCACTCCTTTCCCAGGCTGTTTATTTCAAGCCCACTTTCCTATGTCCTTTCTTCCAGCCTCTGAGAGCTGACTCTTCTCTTTCCCATAGCATCTGAAAACTTTGTCCTATCCCTTTTGTAATGTGTTATTATCTAATGTCCCTGTTCTCTATCCCGGATGTCCAGCTTTTCACCTCCAATTTTATTTTAAGACAGAAACAGTCTTATGGAAGTTGGAGCTTCCATGAACCCCATGGATTTCTGGTACCATTGCATGTCAACATGCCCTCATCTCCAACAGAACACATACACAACACACACACAGCCACTGCATCTCCTCATGCCACACATCTCTCACTAATAGATGCCATGTGCAATTCACATCCCACAACGTGCATTGTACAGACGCATACACTTCCATCTTAGTATGCATCTGACAACTTAGCTGGATGACATGCTGTGCATCACATACTCACAAATATGTATCAAAAACCATATATAGTCTACAAAGAAACCTTTCAGTATTCTCAACACAATGCTACAAAATTCCTCCCACATAACTATCTATATGCTATAAGTGAAGATACAGCCAAATATCTACCTTGTGAATATTGCATTGCCATGATGGAAGTCAAATTTAATAAATATAAGTAAAATATTCAGAAATGCTTTCCATGAAGATGTAATATAATACCCTCCAAGTGTGTGCAAGTTTGGGAGTTTCCCTTTAAACTGGAGTCAGAGTACCCCAGTTGTTGAGAAGGAACCTGCAAAGGAATAGTGTCCAGAAATTTCTGAGACTGATTTTTCCCCACACAGGGAACTCTGAGTGTAGAAATTTGTTAGACACAGTCACTGGCATTTCTCTTCCTAGGATCTGGCTTCCTGCACCCCAGACTCATAGGTGAATGCCTTCATTCATTAGGAAGATGACCCACAATTGGTTAGTATTAGACTCTTCCATACTGACCCACTACTTCATAGGCACGCACAGAACAATGGACTCTCCACAGTGTTGCTCCTAAGGTTCATTTTCACCCTCCTCTCCTTTTCATGAAGCAGCCCTCCTCACCCACCAGGAAACAGTGTAAGATTGGCTAGTTGGCACAGGAAAAGTCCTTAATGAGGTTGTTGTTTATCTCTGGCTATCATTATCGTATATGTACTAAGGGGCAGTGGCGCAGAGCTCTATCTCTCTTTGAGGCCCATGTTTGTTAGTCTTGGGCGGCTTTCCCCACTTGGGGAGGTCGATGGCGATGGGCAGGCGAAGGAAGGAACGAGGACCAGGCTAGTTGGTGTCAGCTGCAGTTTTTTCATTCTCCTTCTCAATCCTACTTCAATATCCTCCTGTCTCTGCCTCTCTCATTCTCCTTCTTCTGATTTTTCAGGCCCCTCTTAGAACCTAGTTAAATACCCAAACATGAGGGGCAGGGGCTTACACATAGGTGTGGTTACAATCAATAGGGGTAAAATCCTTCTCTCAAGGAAAGCTGCTTCTAGGACAGATTCTCATTCAGCAGGATGACCCACCCAAGAGCGGAATCCCATCGGTATATTTCTCCTCCCCTTGTCCAACAAACATATAAACATTCATAATATTAATCATTTTGTATGTATATGGGCTGGAGCAATAGCACAGAGGTAGGGCATTTGCCTTGCATGCAGCCAGCCCAGGCTAGCCAGGTTCGATTCCTCCACCCCTCTCAGAGAGCACAGCAAGCTACCGAGAGTATCTCGCCTGCACGGCAAAGCCTGGCAAGCTACCCGTGACATATTCAATATGCCAAACACAGTAACAACAAGTCTTACGATGGAGACGTTACTGGGACCGCTTGAGCAAATCAATGAACAACGAGAGGACTGTGTTTGTTTGTTGTATAAACACAGTAAGAGATACATTAAGCTTGTAGAATTGCTCTCTTGGGTCATCTCGATCTCAGACTACCGTGCTCAGGCCAGATTAGTCTTTCTATCCCTAGCAGGATCCTAATCTCATCATTACTTTTGGATCATGACAGCATTTGTCCATGACCATGCTCTTAACTTTTATAGTTTAAGTATTGTGGCACTTTCGTCTGGCCCATTTCAATGCCAGGGTAGCTCACAGGTTGTCCTGGATCCATTCAGTCCTTCACTGGGAGTCTGCTTTTGTGGTGCTAGGAACTAAGGGCAACTGAGACTTAAGTCAAGGAAGCAAATGGCTCCGAGTTTGTATTGTTCAAAGACAATTTGGTCCGAAGTTACAAAACCATAATATTAACTGTCTTCCCTTGTCCACACAAAAAGGACATTGCTTTAAAGTAAACTACGCAAAAGATATAAGGAGAGGAGAAAGGCAATATTAACTTACGATACAAGTTCAGTGTCCTAGAAGGATCTAACCTTACAAGTTAACAGAATCTGATTAGGGGAAAAGCTTATTAGCTGGTTAGGGAAGAGAGCATAGAGACGTTATGGACAAGCACAGAGGAATGGGAGTAACTCGGGAGCACTGTGTTGGGTGTAATCCCATAAACCTAAGCTCCTCGTGGCAAGTGAGAAAGGACAAACCAATGATATCCTAAAATTATTTCTTTAACTGTGGGGTTACAGTGGATTGGGTCATATCTGGTGATGCTCAGAGCTTTCTCCTGGATCTGCACTCGGAATTACTCCTTGTGGTGGTCAGGGAACCATAGCAGGTTCTCAGATCAAAACCCCGTTGTTATTTCTTTATTTTTTCTTTTTTTTATATTTAATTTTATTGAATCACCATGAAGTAAAAAGTTACAAAGGTATTGTTGATTGGGCTTCAGGCGTATATTTTTCCTGCACCAGTCCGCTGACCAGTGCCCTCTACCCTCCACCAATGTCCAGTTTCCTTCCAACTCCCCACCCCTCCGATCTATTGGTATTTCTTATAGTTGATATTTCTTTTCTTTTTGACACTCATATGCTATTCCATAATGATCCTTAGACAGGACCACATTTGAGAATCACTCGATCAGGACCCAGAGCTAAATCTACACAGAGAAACGCATGGAATATGCCAGAAATCATCATCAGATTAAGGACCCAAGTATCATTCTCTATTGTCTATGCCCCAGGTTGTGAAGTGTCTGTCCTGGGTGTGACTTCCTACTCCAGGACAAGTCATAACACAATGGGACACTGGGAAACAAAATGGTGAAAAATGTTTGAGCACCAAAAGAATGCAGACTTTAAGAAAGATTCTGTACTAGGTGAGTGGGAGAGAACCTAATTCCTAGTTTTGCCTCACACATGAGATACTGGACCAGCAGACAGTCCTAGGCTGTACCTTCAGCTTCTACCCCTCTGACCCCAGTTCTTATTTCTAGGGGAGGCCCCAAGCAGCTCAAAGGACAGCACTTCCCTGTGAGAAATCACCCTAAGAATACAGCCCCTAAGGTATGGGCCTTATCTTGGGTTAACAAGACTAAGGGAAAGCACTGGCCCTCACAGGACATTTCCTGCTTAAGCCAATCAGGAAAAGTCTTTGACCTACGCAGGAAATATTCTTCTAGGAAGAGTGTAGAGCCCAGCAGGATTAATCCTACTGGGAAAGGTTTGAAAAGACTTAGGGGGAGCCATAGCACAGACAGCTTGACAAGAAAGCCCTGACAGCAGGAATTAGCATCCCCATAGTCTCAAAGCTATTGCTTATCTCCTGCATGTCCCCATACCCACAGCTGCACTTACAGTTTATCCTTTGTTCCACGTACTCACTCATGAACAGTGTATGTGATGAGAGGGAGGAGGGAAATGGTGGGTGGACATAATAAAAGACCAAGGAGCCCTTTGTTCGGTAGTGTCAAGGCTAACTTGCTGCCTGAACAAGCAACTAGGTGTGTCTCATTCTTTGGAACCAACCTGCTGGACAGAGGTCAAAGGTACCAATCCAATTAACATTATTGAGACAATCTACCACACCCAACAATGGGCAGTATCCAGAGTCAGTATATTCAGCTCTAGAGGTGTCCTGGTATTGACTCTGCTTTCCTGCGCTGAGTCCTGTGTTCTGCTAGGGACAGTGAGGAGGAAGGAGACAGCAGAGACAAGGAGGATGGGGATGGTGTGTTCTCATGCCCAAGAGTCCTGCTATTCTTTCACCCTTTCCCCTCATCCTCCTGTGCTGTGGAAAACAGTGAAGCACCTGGAAGAGCTGAGAGATGGTTGACCCAGAAAGGCTGCTAGATTCCTACAGGCTTGGTTGAAAAGGTAGAAACATCTGAAGTCAGTGAGTGTCTGAGCTGCCCTGTACAGGCTTCCTGATTTGATTTTCTGCTGGGCACACAAAACAGCTTCCTACGAAATTCCTGTTCCTTCTTTTAAGCTGTTAAAGAGGGTATTATTCCTACCTTGTCCCTCTTCTTAGAACAAACTCAGGGCAAAACATCAGCAACTGTAACTCATCGTGTTTCACTAATAAAAATTAAAATAATAATAATAATTTCCCCCCAAAATAAATAAATAAAAAAACCACATCAGCAACTTCTCACATTTCCTCCCTGATAGGACTGGGCTCCACCTCACATTAGTTTCACTTAGGAGTTTGATTCAGTCAGAGTGACTCTCTTTACTGAGGACTCAGATAGTGACAGCTACCTGGAGACTGTAAGAAATAAGGACTGTCTGCTCTGTGAATAAGGTAGTGAAATATCAGATCATTGTTATGGGAGAATAAGAAGCATGCACATGGGTTGTGGTGTGTTGTGTGTGTATGTGTGTATATGTGAAGGAAAGAGTCAGAATTTGTGTGGGGACTGTGTGAGTTTGTTAAGTGCAAATCAATTTGCAGCATCTGTGAATTAGTTCTGTGTGTGTGTGAGTATGTGTTTGATAGTTTGTGGGGGTGTGTCTGCCTCTCTGAATGTCTCAGTTATCAGTGCCTTAAAAACTACTTTTCTGGATTTTGCTTTCTTAGTTTCCCTTCTATCTGTTTTCTCACTCACCAGACCCAAGCCATGTCTCAGCAGATCAAGTGTCTGTGGTGAGCAAGGCCCAGGAGGGGAAGCCTGGAGAGATTGGAACATAGCACAAAGGGGAATAAATGGTGCAGGAAGATATTCTCTATGCCTCTAAAGAAATAATTTTCATAGCTTATTTTGAGAGAAATGCATTCACAGTAACTTTAGTACAAAAGGCAGCATTAGTTGTTGGAATAGCTCATCAGTCTCAGGTCACAGAAGTGTTTGTTTTCTACCTCATCCTGTCTCTATTCCCTCCCCACAAACACTCTGCATTGAGAATAGGGGACAAAGGTTCCCCTAGCTGTAACCATGTGGATGAAGAGCAAAGTCCTGTGTTCCTTGAACAAAGTCCTGTGCTCCCATCTCAGGTTCTAACTGCTGGACACCAGGAGATAAACCACCAGGATCCACAGAGGCCTGTCGTCCCAATCTGTTCTCTCTGCCCCACATCCAGGTTTCTGGTAAGTTTGTGGGCTCCAGTCCCTCTGACTTCTGGGAGACCAGGTTGGCCTGAGAAGTGACAGTCACCTATCTGGGTCTTCAGGAGCTCTGATCTCAGGATGAGACCTTCCTCTCCCACCTCTTTTAACTCTGATCTCAGGTCAGAGAGGCTGACGGAAAGGGCACACAGCTTCTTCAGGTTGACTGTAGGCTTCATTATCCTCCTGGAGGAAGCTCTACTTAGCCTGGGTTTTATACCTGTATCTTTTAGTCTTTTAAAGAGGGAGACAGGTAGCAGGAACTTGGAATTGATTACTCAGTGCAGACAGATGTGATTTTTCTCAAGGAATTCTTCCTATCTAATTCCAATAGCAGATACAAGAAAATCAACCCAATGCTGATGAAGCAACTTCTCGTAGAATGGGATTGTTACTCTCCCTGCATGAGTTTCTCTCCTTTGCTTTAGTTTTATCAGGAAGCCTGTCCTCTCATTCTCTCTGAATTTCAAGCCCACTTTTTCTTGGAAAAAGTGCAATATTTGACTGTTCTATTATATCACCCACAGACTCAGGAAATAATAAACAACTGAAATTCTATTAGTAGAATGAAGGAACTAAATGCTGCAGTTCATTCAATTATTATTATACTCCATTTAAGGCAATATTGTGATTCTGAGCACTCTCTTTGACAGCACAGTTACATGAAATGAATTTTCTCAATTTTAATTCATATCTCTCAGATGTTTTTCAAGGTCAGAGGAGGTGCAGAAACTCAACTGAGGTGTATTTCTGATACACTGGGAAATTTTGATTGCATAATCTCTACCACTTGATCCAATATTACAGCATTTCTGCAAAAGCCATGGCCTCAGCTACAGTTACCAAGAAGTTGTTGGAGGAAGTTAAATGCCCTATCTGCCTGGATATGATGACTGAGGCTGTGACAATCAGCTGTGGGCACAACTACTGCCGCATGTGCATAGTGAGTTTTACTGAGAACCAAACCTCTGAAACATCATCTTCGAGGACATTTCATTGTCCTCAGTGTAGGAAACCTTTTAAAAGTGATAGCATTCAGCCCAACAAGCAGCTGGGAAATATCATTGAAACCATCAAGGAGACAGACTATGAAAGTTTGTGTGAGAAACATGGAGAGCAGTTCCACCTGTTCTGTGAAGATGATGGTCAGCTCATCTGCTGGTGCTGTGAGCGGTCACCACAGCACAAAGGACATGTCACTGCTCTTGTTGAAGTTGCATGTCAGAGCTACAAGGTGAGTGTGGGGCCCTGAAAGCCTCCTTAAAACTTCATTTGATGTTGCTCTGAAGACTGTTTTACTTATTTATTTGACAGAAATTATTTTCATTGCAGTATATGCTTCAGATGCGCTCTGTTACTCACTGCAAAGGTGAATGGGCACAATATACCCTGAAAAATTGCTCAACTCCATCTGCCTCCATCTATTGATCAACTTCCCCCCCCCCATTTCCTCAAGGATTCCCCCTTGGTCCAGCTCCATGTGTGGTGTGTCCTTTCCCTTATTCCGCTTCTTTACACTGAGTTTATGAGTGACATCATCTGGGTATATATTTCTCTTCTGAATTATTATGTCTATAACTACACCTCCACTCCATCCAAGTTGTCACAAATGGAAATATTTCATCTTTCAGTTTTTTAGCTTTATATCTGAGTAGGATCCTATTGTGTGAATATACCATATCTTCCTTATGAAATATTTGATCATTGGGTACTTTTGGTTTTTCTTATCCTTGGTATTTTAAGTAGCAATATATTGAATAGGTGTGGCTTTATCCTTCAAGTAAGGGCTTTGTATTCTTTTGATTGTAGCACTATAGCACTGATCTCCGGTTGTTCATCAATTTGCTCGAGTGGGCACCAGTAATGTCTCTATTGTGAGACTTGTTACTATTTTTGGCATATATAACATGCCACGGGGTGCTTGTCAGGGTCTGCGGTGAAGATGGGATACTCTTGGTAGCTATTCGGGCTCTTCAAACAGGATGGAGGAATTGAGCCCAGGTCAGCTGCATGCAAGGCAAACACTCTACCTGGTGTGATATCACTCCAACCCTTCTTTGGATAGATCACTTGATCACTTGACATCCCGTTACTCATCGATTTACTAGAGTGGGTGCCAGTAACATCTCCATTCATCCCTGTCGCGTGCTAGTGTAGCCCAATGGCTTCTGCTCATTCTAGCAACGTGAAGATCCTCAAACCGATCATTCAGGGTCTTGACGAAAAAGTCTGACCATCTCATAGGTGGGCGACCACATGGTCTTTTGACAGCCTGTGGAATCCAGTCGGTAATGACTTTAGTCCAGCAGTCGTCTCCAAATCTCATTACGTGACCAGCCCATCTGATTATCAATGCCTTGGCAAATGAGACAGTGTCTGTGATTCTTGACCATTGACAGTGGCTGGAACTCCGGGTTCTTTCTCTAATTTGCATGAAACATGATACTCCAAGCATAGCTCTTTTGATTCCTCTTTGGGAGACCTGAATAGCATTCTCATCCTGTTTTTGTAAGGCCCAACATGGGCCTTGAGGCGTATGTTAATGCAGGAAGAACAGTGGAATCAAAAAGATGTGCCTGGAGCCAGAGGTTCTTCGTCCTCTTCACTATTTCTTCTACGTTCTTGTAGCCTTTCCAAGCCGCTCTCTTCCTCCTGAGCAACTCAGGTGCCAGGTCATTCGTCATCTTGACTTCTCGATCTAGGTACACATAACTGTTGCATTCGGAGATGGACGTTCCATTGAGAGATAATGGGATATCAGGAACGAGACTGTTTCTCATGAACATTGTCTTTGTGAGATTCAGCTGTAGTCTGACCTTTCCACACTCATGGTCGAAGTCGGCCAGCATTTGTGCTGCTTGGCTAATGTTTGGTGTTATTAGAACGATGTCATCAGCAAAGCGGAGGTGGTGTAGTTGCCGACCATCTATCTTCACTCTCATTCCTTCCCATTCCAGTCGTCGCATGTCGTTCTCTAGGGTGCCATTGAAGAGTTTCAGTGAAATGGTGATAACCTAGTAGTGAATCTATAATACAGCTCATGGAGATCCTGATGTATTGAGTTTGAATGCCTTGATTGGCTAGAGCTTCAATGACTGCTTCCATCTCAACAGAATCAAAGGCCTTCTTTAATCAATGAACGTTAAACAGAGCGGCATCTTGAACTCCATAGAAACCTCAATGAGAGTGGTTATCATGTGGATATGGTCAATGGTACTGAATCCTTTGTGGAACCTGGCTTGTTCACATGGCTGTCCTTCATCTAGTGTTCTGCCAATCCTATTTAGGATGACTCTAGTGAACAGCTTGTAGATGACAGACAACAGGCAGATCAGGCGGTAGTTGCCAATGTCGTGGATGTCTCCCTTCTTGTACAGTAGTACAGTAGTACAATCCTGCTGGTTTTTCATTGGGATGGAACCTTGCATTCAGACAGGTAACGAGCCAATGTATTGATGAGTACTGATGGCAGGTTCTTCAGGTGTTCAGGTCTGACCTTGTCTGGGCCAGATGCTGTTCCTTTCTTTACCGACAAAACGGAGTGTCAGATTTCGGAAGGGAGAATATTGGAAACGACATATCCATCCTGCGCAATTTGGTATGTGGGCAGATAGATGTGGCTATCAAAGAGATCTGAGTAGAAGTCATGGATAATATTCTTCATTGCCATTCTGGAAGATGTGATAGATCCATCAGGACATAGGAGGGCAGTCATGTTGGTCTTCTAGTTGGCGAAGGACAGCTGGGCATTGCAAATACTTTTCCCAGCTTCTGCCACATCTACCAGCTCTGCTGCTCTTCTCTCTTTGAGTTTTTCCTTTATTGCTTCTCTGCACTGCTTTGCAAGCTCGGATGTTTGCCTGCGGTTGTCTGAGGCATGTGCCAAGCCATGTTGGCAAATAAGCTCAAGAGTTTCAGAAATTTGGGACAACAGTGATATCGGTCAGACAAAACCGTTGATTGAATATGTGGTCAATTTTGTTGTGGAACCGTCCACTGGGAGACTCCCATGTCCAACCTTTAGATTCGGCCTTCTGAAACTGAGAGTTACCATGGATGGTCTTGGTAGACATAATGAACTCAGTCTCTCACCCTGTTCATTCCATTCTAGTCCATGGGTTCTAATGTGGAGTTCTTCAGCTGATCTTCTTGGTTCTATCTTGGTATTGAAATCACCCACAATGATCTTGTAGAAGATGTGGTCGTCTTTATAGAACTTCTCCAGCTCCATGTAGAACTTCTCAATTTCTCCTTCCTCATAATTAGATGCTGGTGAGTAGACAACAAAGATAGAAACTGCCGGCAGTGAGCCACATCTATTCAAGTATAATCATCCGATTCGGGTTGTTAGGCATTCAAATGAATCAATGCTCATGGTCAAGTTAGTGTTGACAAGGACACCAACACCACTGACGCCTCTTTTTACACAAGATCTGAAGAACAGTTCCTCTCCAGTGTCGAAAACGGCTTGATGTTATTGATGTCTTCTCGTCCCGGTCAGACCAATGATGTCATACTTGAACTTTCGCATTTGTACCATCAGGTCCTCGATGGATGCATCTGATGCCAGCATACGTGCATTTAAAGTACAGACAGTCGTTTTTGTCTTTCTTCGTTTTGGCAGCCTAGTTTGGTCTTGAGATTTTATCAGCCTCTCCTTCCACATCCTTCTCAATGCTGTCGTGTTTGTGGCTCTTTCAGGGTCAGAGGAATGAGACCCATTTTATTTACTGGTTTTGGCATATTGAATACACAATGGATAGCTTGCCAGGTTCTGCCGTGCAAGTGGAATACTCTCAGTAGCTTGCCAGGCTCTCCAAGAGGGATAGAGGCTTTTGGGGTGGCCTCTAATCACCCTTGTAGGTGTTCCCATAGTTCAAACCATATCAGAATCTATCAAATATGGTGCGGCAATCCTGGAAGATGGGTATTAAGTGTCTTAATGTGTTGCATGCCGCTTCGCAGCCATGTGGTCCAGAAAGCATCCTGGAGCAAGGCGGCGGCTGGTAGTGGAGGTATTGGAGGTGATAGATAGATACACAGAATGGTAGATACACAGAATTAATTCTAGATCATATTGTAAGCATGGAGCTGAAGCGATAGCACAGCAGGTAGGGTGTTTGCCTTGCATGCAGTCAACATGGCTGACCTAAGTTTGGTTCCTCCGCCCCTCTTGGAGAGCCTGGCAAGCCACCGAGGTATCTCGCCTGCATGGCAAAGCCTGCCAAGCTACCCATGACATATTCGATATGCCAAACATAGTAACAATTGTCACAATGGAGACATTACTGGAACCGCTCGAGCAAATCGATGAACAATCAGTGGAGGACAGTGACAGTGACAGTGACAGATTGTAAGCATAGAAGTTAGTTGGCCAATAAGCATTTGCAGACCCTTCATAATGGTTATCATAGAATCAAATCAGTTTGTACTCTGACAAAAATATGCATGAATACCTCATATTCTACAGAAAATCACCAAAATTCTTGTTCCTGGTGTATGTGATATAAACTGTTCTCTTAGCACTTACTGGCTTCTCACTGTAGTTCTCATTTACATTTTCAGTCATATAGTAAGTTGTGTAAACACACACAAAAAGGACGGGCAAAGGGACAGCCTCGGCCTATCTCTCCCGCCTTCCACGTTCGGTAGTCTCAGGTCGTTTCTCCACTCCAGGGAGGTTGATGGCGATAGTCAGGCTAAGGAAGGAAATGAGAGCCAGGCTGGTTGGTCTTAGTAGCAGTTTATTACATGGAAGAAGTTTACGTCATAGAGGCCCCAGGATCTCTCAAGCATGTGCTCTCTGTTCTCTCAGCATCTGTCCCCATTCTCTCAGACCTGTCTCTTTGGTTCTCTCAGAACATCACCTCAGGTTCTCTAAAGCATGTGTTCCCCTCGAGAGCCCTGAAAACTCCCTTATATAGATCATGGTACCTCTAAAGGGCGCAAGACAGTGATGTCATCAAAAGGAATTACAGAAAGAACATTGAGGCAGAAAAACATACATTGTTTCTTTACATCTGCATGCCAGTAATTTTGGCCTAGGGAAAGAAGATACAAAACCAAGACTGAAACCTTTCACAAGCACTTTCACAAGCTACAAGCACATGGATTTGCATCCCAAAGACCAGTCTGCTAGAGCTTGGAATCTACATCCCAAAGACAAGTATCTGAGCTTTGCACCCCAAAGACTAGCCTGGCTAGAGCCTGAAATCTACATCCCAAAGATCAGGC